CCCCCCTGTCATATGATCCCTTTTCTTTTTTGTGGCCCCAACCCTCGTATACCCATACCCCTGCCTGCATCATGTTGCACCACGTCAGCACTCAAGACGGCAGAGGATCCGACCCACGAAGTCTTTCCTGAGAAGGCGGGAAATGAAACGCGAAACCCTTAAGCCCCATAAATTGGTGGTAAAAATGTAGTCCTGATAAAATTGGTGGCGGTACCCTTTCTCAAAGCATACATACCCCTTTAAAACCAAAGCAGCGATTTAACTTTCGTCTCAAACACGGAACCCTGATTCAAGAACTCAACCCATATGTTGCAAGATAAAGATTTCGACAGGAAAAATTGTGCCAAGCAATTGCCAAGCATCGACTGTATTTATTTAAACTAGAGGTGTCCCCCGGCTCTTGAAAAGAGCCTACGCCTGGTGCGATGGAAATAGAAAAAAGGAGATATAATATAAACTTACCTGCGCTCAAGTATTGTTTCAACCCTTCCCAGTCTGCGGACCCATCGCACACTTCGGCTGGAGACACCGTTAGTCCTACTTAGCTAACTATTCTCCGGCAGACTGGGTTTGAATACCCTGTCGCAACCGTAGTTGCAAGCAAGGCTCTTCTCGCGTAATTCTCAGCCCGAAGGCCCGCCCACGCTGAGGGCAGCGCGATTCTTAGCCAAAAGGCCCGCCCAACGCCAAGGGCTTCAAAAATTGATGCCCGAAGGACTTCGGACCCAGAGGTGTCAAAGTAGAACTGCACGGCCGTACCTGGCGTCGAGGCTGCGGGCCGAAGGTTCCGAGCCTGGATTTTGAGGATTTGGGGCCTGGGATTCCCGGGTCTAAGCCCCCAAGCTCCAAGGTTTTGGGGTCCGAGCCCCCAAGCTCCAAGGTTTCAGGGTCCAAGCCCCCAATTCCCGGGTCCAAGCCCCTAGGCTCTAGGGTTCCAGGGTCCAAGTCCCCCAATTCCCGGGTCCAAGCCCCCAAGTTTGAAGGTTACAGGGCCCAAGCCCCCAATTCCCGGGTCCGGACGAAGAATCATAATTTTATTAATATTTTCTTTTTTCCCGCTTTACTATTTGAAGTCTCTCGCCCCGGAGCCTGCTCACAAGCCAGGGCCGGGGCCACCGTAGGAAACGTATCCAAAAGGGCTCTCGTAGTGCCCGCCGCTGTCCCTGGCGGTCGCCGCTTCTCGGACTTTCTCCGCGGCGAAGTTCCTTGGAGGGATTCTTTTTGCTTGCTTGTTTTGCTTTTTCTCTTTCTTCTTGAGCGTCTTGAGGTATTTCTTGTACTCCTTTGCGCTCACCTCTTTGGTTCCGCCCTTGCCCGCGCCGCCGGAATTCTGCATGGCAGCGGTGGGGCTGAGGAATTGCAAGCTTGAGCCGGGAAGCTGCAAGCAAAGCAAAAATTAGTATTGAGTAGGGAGAGGAAGTTTCTCAGTAAGTTCATTCTTTTTTCGGGGTCCGGGCCCCCAAGTTTTTCAGGTCCAAGCCCCCAAGCTCCAAGGTTTTCGGGTCCAAGCCCCCAATTCCCGGGTCCAAGCCCCCAATTCTAGGGTCCAAGCCCCAAACCTCCAAGGTTCCAGGGTCTAAGCCCCCAATTCCCGGGTCCAAGCCCCCAAGCTTCAAGGTTCCCGGGTCTAAGCCCCCAAGCTCCAAGGTTCCAGGGTCCAGTTCCGGGTCCAAATGGCACCCGCCCACCCCCAGGGTCGTACACTGCCCTGATCTCGCGCCAGTTGGGCCCGATCCAGTGCAAGTAGTGACGATGGGTGACCGTGTCTCCGGGATGGGTCGTCCCAGAATTTTTTTATCGGCCAGGCCCTTGTAAAGGTCAATCATTTCAATTATCCTTTAAACCCGGGTCCGTGATTGATTTTGAGGCTTCACGAGACAGAGCATGTGTGAGCCAAAGGGTCCGCCCAATTCATTTCTCTATTAAAGCCCGGGAAAAGGAAAAGTAGATGGACAAGGAAAAAGACACCTCACGAGACAGAGCGTGTGTGAGCCAAAGGGTCCGCCCAATTCATTTCTCCATTAAGCCCGGGAAAAGGAGAAGCTTGCATGTTGTCGCATCGGCCGAAACGACCAATTATGATGCAACTCACAGAGCATGTGTGCCCACAGACATCACCGACGCGCGCGCCCCAAACGCGTCCAAACGCACACGGTCGCTCGCACGCACGCGCGGCGACGAAAAGGAAATCGAATTTTGTTTTTTTTTTCCACCCGGACCTCAAGGTGAAAAGCGGCAATCGTCTACTCGGTAGTGCGTTGCAATTATATTTCATCAAGCGCGCTGAGATCATTGCAGTGGTTCGAGTCCACCCCTGCCGCGCGCAGGGGACACACACGGGCGCAACGAGGACGATTGCGCGCGCGCAAATAAACAGATACATACATATGTGTAGACACAGCATACACATTCATACACGCATACATGCTTAATACTGACACACATGCATACATACATACATACATATTTGCACATTCATACAAACATAATGTATATGTGTGTATATAAGCATTCAAAAGATGTTGATGAAGCTACTGGATCCAACAAGCGTCGCTTGCATCATAAAGTTTTGCTATGTTATTGTTTTGTTGGCCCTTTCTAAAACCAACAACACTCTTGAAAAAACCTTTGAAACTTTCAAAACTCATAGAAGTTATATAGTGTCCATGTCCTAAAAGTTGTTTTTTATTAAACAATAAGTTTTGAATCTTAACTTTTTCTATATAACTTCTATTTACTCGCGCTCTTGAGGGTTTAGGGTTTAGGGTTTA